CTGAAACATTTTTCCCTAAAATACACTGTTCAAGAGATATTTGAGGTGATTGATTAAAATGGGACACCTTGTATATGCAGTTCTAAAATTGACATATTTCGATATATTTCGCATAAATCAAATCGGTATCAAAAACGAAGTGAAAGGTTTGGCTCACTTGGTATATGTATATATTATGTAGATAGAAAATAAGAAACCGATCATCAGCAATTATATAAATGTTAAATCAGTATATTAATTGATAAGCGACTCTAAATAGTTCCTTCTCGTTGCGTTTTTCTTTGTTGTATTTCTTTACATAACTTTACCATGAAATATTTATAAAAGTCTAAAATAACATATCTTAAAGATACTTTTTACAATATATACATAATTTATATATACATAATATATACATAATTTTTACAATAATGCCTCAAAAAGATATCATATATCAGAATGTATTTTAGAAACATTTTTTTCCGATATTCCAAAATAGACATAAATCAGAATATAAGAAAGTTTAGAAACGATATATCTTTCATACATTCCAAGAGAGACATAAATAAGAAAATTTAAAAACAAATAGATAATACTTTAAAAATTAGCCTTTTAAATGTATTCAAAACAAAGTTCTTTATAGGAAAGGATACATCAACTTAGATTCATATCATAAAAGATTATTGATCGTTTATTTTGGTTTATTTTTTAAAATTTATATAAATATAATACTCAACTGTATTATTATCAAACACATGTTATTATTAAATACATATACTCATATTATTATGGTTTTAATATATAAAGTTATATAAGTCTTATAGTCCATTCATTATGAAAATCATGGAACAACTGAAGTTATAATTGATATCTAAATATAGAATTAACATATTTAAAATAACGATAACTTACAAAAACTTCAATAATTTTAATTGATATTTAAGTATCATTTTCTTTGATATCCACAGATAAGGCACATAGTTCTTCCGTTAAGTCATGTACATCCTTTACGTTCAAGAGTTTTTTTATTTCTTCACACATTTTTTTATGTGTTTTTGAATATTGTTTCTCAAGAAGAGGACAAAAATAATCGTTTAAAAAAGATGAAATACTTGAGGTATTGAAGTCAAGAAATTTATAAAATATCTAAAAAACAAAAAAATATATATAATTTCAAAATAAAAAAAAAACGTTGAGTTTTTAAACTTGTGCTAAATCTTATTAATATATTCACATATATGTATTTTTATTTATCTAAATTAAAGAAAAATATTTCTTTTCAGCTGATGTGTATGCATATGTATACATGTACGCATATACACTCGCGTATGGACGCATAAACAGAATACAGAAAAATTTGGTACAACAAATATCATTTTCCTATCCTTTTTTACTAGTGCAAAAATTGAATGATGATGATTAATTGATTGAAGTATCTCATATTTTAATTTGCCATTGCTTTAATCTGTCAAAAATATAAAATATCTTTTGAAAAATATTTATTTTTCAATTATTTTAATATTTTTATATACAGAATTACGATGAATATAAAAAACAATTGCCTTTTAGAAAATATGTAATTGCATAATTGTAAATTACTTTTTTTGTTAAAAAACAACTTATATATCTTCATGTCACGTGATTTTAGTATTTACATTAAAATAAATGATAAAGACTGAATAATTTACAAGATATTTTACATTTATGCTAAATATGTTAGAATAAATATAAATACTTTGTAAGTTATTAATTTTTATATTTTTATACGCAGAATATATTTGTAAGATTTAAATAAAAAAGAAAATATAAACAAATGAGATTATATTACGCCTACACGATACAAAGCAGGATCTTGGTGCTTCTATATAGTATTAATGTGAATCTTACAATTTTTGGTTCATATAACACTACGTGGCCGCCTACGTAGTCGCGTGCTTCTCCGTAGCTCCGAACCAAG